GGCCAATGTACACGGCAGAGGGGCATTGCTGGCACATGATGGCATATATCACATTGGTAGATGTGCAGGTGAATGAGCCTCCGATAGTGTGGCTGATGTGATTAGGCCCTATGATGGTGTCCCCTGAATAGATATGTGGACACAGTTGGCAACGGGCTTTGTTGCAAGGATAGGTTCCTGGGTTAGTGTTTTTGTTGTGTGGTGTGTGATTGCTGGTGAGTATTTGCTTCAGGTTGGGGGGCTGTCTGTAAGCAAGGACTGGCCTGTGTCCCAAGATCTGTGAGAGTGATGGGTCGTCCTTCAGGATAGGTTGTAGATCCTTGATGATGCAGTGGAGAGGTTTTAGTGGGGGCTGAAGGTGATGGCTAGTGGCGTTCTGTTATTTTCTTTGTTGGGCCTGTCCTGTAGTAGGTGACTTCTGGGTACTCTTCTGGCTCTGTCAATCTGTTTCTTCACTTCAGCAGGTGTGTATTGTAGTTGTAAGAATGTTTGATAGAGATCTTTGTAGGTGTTTGTCTCTGTCTGAGGGGTTGGAGCAAATGCGGTTGTATCGTAGAGCTTGGCTGTAGACAATGGATTGTGTGGTGTGGTCTGGATGAAAGCTGGAGGCATGTAGGTAGGCATAGCGGTCAGTAGGTTTCCGGTATAGGGTGGTGTTTATGTGACCATCGCTTATTAGCACCGTAGTGTCCAGGAAGTGGATCTCTTGTGTGGACTAGTCCAGGCGGAGGTTGATGGTGGGATGGAAATTGTTGATATCATGGTGGAATTCCTCAAGGGCTTCTTTTCCATGGGTCCAGATGATGAAGATGTCATCAATATAGCGCAAGTAGAGTAGGGGCTTTAGGGGACGAGAGCTGAGGAAGCGTTGTTCTAAATCAGCCATAAAAATGTTGGCATACTGTGGGGCCATGTGGGTACCCACAGCAGTGCCGCTGATTTGAAGGTATACATTGTCCCCAAATGTTAAATAGTTATGGGTGAGGACAAAGTCACAATTCAGCGACCAGGTTTGCCATGACACTTGTACAGGTACAAAGGTTTCCTGCTGTGGGGAATGTGGGAAATTTCTTTATTATTTTTATGAAAAGTATCTCTGTTTCCCCATTCACTTTTGTATTCCTACTCACTTGGTGTGAAAGGACTAATTTTCAGAGAGACAGAGGAATACACGATAAATTGATTAGGGTGGAGACATCCTGGCCTTGTATGAATGGACTATCACGAACTAACAACATTAACCTTTAATAATTGCTAGCCAAGGGAATTTTTTTGGATTATGTGGGTAAATTGCCGGTCTCCTCACAACCCCCACTGTGGGGAGGAACAGTATACATGAAAATAGTGTTACTGGGACTTGAGACAAAGAACTGAGACAGAGATATTTAACTGGATCTCCATGTGCTGTGTAATTCCACACGGAATAGTTGAGCAAGGCAGGGAGGTTGCTGCAACCATGCAGTCTGCTACCAGGCCAGGGCAAAGAGGGACTCACCTAACTGAGCAAGTAGAAGGTGGCTACTTAGGGGAGAGACATGCGTTTAGTCTTTGTTTTACCATTTTAACCCAGTGTCCCTAAATACAGTATTCCAGCTGACTAATAAATAATGTCTTATTTAGAAAAGGCTGCCCTGAGTCACTGCAAACATGTGCTGGTTGCATTGCTCTCAACGGGTGAAGTCTTCCCAACAAGGATCCATGCTCATTTGGACCAGCTAAAAGGAGTCACAGCAAGAAACAGAAGTGCTGAAGCCAGGGACCCAGTCTCAGAACAGCTGGGTCACTTTAGTAAAATGGAGGCCTAGGGCCTGTCACGAAGAAGGGTACACTCCTATACCACAGATCTTCATACAGTTCTGGCACACCCTGTGGATCTTGACAGCCGCTGACAGGCGTTAAAAAACAGGAGCATCTCCTATCAATGAAGTTCTATTGTTCCGTTCCCTGACAGGTAAGCTTGGGTGCTGTAAAAGACTGATTCCCTGGAGTTTCCGTGTTGCAGAAATTGGACAGCGTGTTGAATATAATTTGTTATATGTAGTTAGTAGGTTCTGCATTTAGAATAGCTTCAGCATTTTAAGAAGACCTCTCCTAAGCTGTGTCAACTCCCACTGGATCTTTAGATATACCATACACACTATGTAATTCTATAATGCACTGTGCATGAGAAACTCGAAGATGTGCAAAGCCATATTATGCTTTTAACTGGTCTTCGATACACTCTAAGTATTCTTCAGCGACCCCACCAGTTTCTGAATCTTGAATTTCAGATAGCCATTTTCTTTGCAGGTTTCAGAGTAGCAGCCGTGTTAGTCTGTATTCGCAAAAAGAAAAAGAGTACTTGTGGCACCTTAGAGACAAACAAATTTATTTGAGCATAAGCTGATCGTTGCAGAGCTCCAGAGGGCAGGTGTGTGCAGGGGTCTGGACACAGAGAATGGCCAACACCCTGTTTCCTGGCAACTGATGGCCTGGCCCTTTCCCCCTGCAAGGTGAGAGCTGAAGGGTTGGAGAACAAAGGGATCAGGCGACCTCCTGGTCCAGGAAAGGGACAAAGCCCAGAGGAGGAGGGGCTGGAGGGGGAGTCAGTTTGAGGCTGGCTGGGGATGTGGAGTGAAGTGCAGACATGGTTGTCTGGCTCACTGCCTCCCAAAATGGACCCGGCTGAGGGGTCCTGTTCTCTGCATCCGATGAAGTGAGCTCTAGCTCACGAAAGCTTATGCTCAAAAAAATTTGTTAGTGTCTAAGGTGCCACAAGTCCTCCTTTTCTATTTTCTTTGTAATGTATCTTAAAATTTTAAAGATTAACAGTCTTTTGGATTTTATTATTTTCTATGGCTTTTTTCAGCTCTGAAATTTGATGAACGATACATTTCCAGTCCTGACATAGCGCAAAGTGTTTATGTCTGCCTTGTAATGCATGACACATGTCATGAAACTGACCCAACAACTGACAAACTGCTCCTACATATGCCATAGATACAACATGAATTCTGAGAACTTGAAAGAGTAGTAACTATCAAAGGCTGGTATAAAAATCCTTCAGAGCCAAGTTCGGTAAACATTTGCTGCTAACTGCAACGTGAAGTCAAATGCACTGTTTATATTACCAAATGTCATATCTAATTTCCTGTTATGAACCCTTGAAATAAAATTATGTGATAATTACACAATCTGTGTGAAACCTGACAAATATATTCCTAATACAAATGATTTATGAAGGTAGTTTGCTGCTGTAGCATAATGTTACTTTGTAATGGAAGCAGTAAAGCTGTTTCCTATACTCTGATAACCACAGAGTGATTTCTTACACAACCACTGATTAAGCAATAGATAATGCAGGCATTTTGGTAAGTATAAATGTTACAGATTTGTTCCAGGCAATTCAAAAATTATGTCCTGCCTATCTAACTAGTCTGTTAGCAAGGAATAATCTTAATTTCAGTTGTTCCTCTAGTTTCAACCCAATTTACTGCCACTGCTATAGATTTATGTTTGGAGTAAGAATTACTTTTATAAGAGTTACTCTTAATCAGAAACTTAATGACGAGGCTGGTCTGGTGTGAGTCATCAGTAATGCATCCCATTCCCAGGCAGGAGACCTGAGATTAGTAACTGGTGGGGATTCCACTCCCAAACAATCCCAAAAGGCTCCCGTAAGTGATGAGCTGCTAGCTCAGAAGGAGCCACCTCCTCCGAGATCACCTCATGTGACAATGACAGAGGAGTTAGCACAATGACAACATAGTTTGTCTTTCCTCCTCCTCATTGGGTGCAGTCATTGCCTCAGTTTCCCCTTCCAACAGTGCCTTAACTTCCCTCACCCAGTAAGGTAGGTAATTTAGCTCTTCCATCAAAACAGATTCTGCCCAGTCCAGGGCTGATGCAAGTCCAAATAAGACAGAAGTTCAACAAAAAGCCTTCACTTAATTCCACTCCAGGGCCACAATTCTCCCTTCAGTGGTTCACAGGAACTTGGGTAATCAATTAGCCTTTCACCCCTTGGCTGCAGGGGTTTACAAAGTCCTTTGTCCCTTGGTTACATGGGTCCAGCTTTACATATGGGTATCAGCACGTCACCTCAAGGTGGCACTAGGAGCACAGAGGATCCCAAGTCCCTTGGCTGCAACTGACTTAAGTAGTGAAGCAGTCATCTGCTCCAGTTTCCCATATTTTCACTTCACTCTTCCATCGGGGCTGCCTCCCTGACAGCTTTCCTCCCTCTGTCCTACGCCTTCTTCCAGGTCCTTCCACACACTTCTTCAGCAATGCCTCTCCTGGGCTCTGTCTCTGCTGGGAGACACACCACAATCTTTGCCCAAGTCACTACAGAGCCCTATCAGCAGGCTAGTGCTCTCTCGCTCTCTCTCAGTTTCTTCCCACAGTAGAAATGGCTACTTCTTATAGCCTCATTCCCACATCTCCTTCTCAAAAGGCCTTGCTTTCAGCCAACAGTACCCATGCTCCCTTCAAGAGCAAAACTCCACAAAGTCCTGGACTGAGAAAGTAACAGGAGTGGTAGGCATAGAACCTGTCCTTAAAGGGCCAACATGTTCTGTTACAGGCATTGTCTATACAGTGGTTCTCAACCTTTTTAGGCTCAAGACCCATTTGGCCTGTTGCAACCCAATTGTAGGATTCATACGGGGTTCATGCACTTGGCAACATTCAGGGCACACCCAGAGTGTTGTGTAGGAGCAGTGCACACACGGCTCCTCTCAAGGGCATGAACCTTGGAATCTTGCCCAGATGACATGAACCGTGGGAAGCCTCCCAGGACTGGGCTCAAGGCCCGAGAGCAAGGAATGCGGTAGACAGAAATTGGTAAATAAGAATATTATACAAAGCCAGTGTATTCCTTTTATCTGTTGGAGTATGTAATGTGCGGGGGGAGAGAGAGAAATAAAGTAGAGGGTGGAAAAGCTGACAGGCAGACCAGCCCGTCGGCAGACCAGCCTGCTTGCTTGCTTAAAGCCTTGTTCTGTCTTATATTTGAACCGCAACAACTGGCGCCCAAACGTGGGGCCCTCAGCACTCACCTCGCCCGGCAAGGGTTTCAGACGCGTCACTCATCCGCTTCGCGGATCCCGGTGAGTATTTTTCGTTGTGGTAAGTATGGGAAGCTCCCTCTCTGCTTTGCAAGTGCAACACCGCAATGAGCTACAGTATTTGCTGCGTAAGGCTCAGCACGATTGCCCCACTCGAGAACTCACTCTCCTGCTACAGGAGGTGAGTGTCCAATGCCCGTGGTACCCTGAAGCCGGAACCCTTAAGCTAGCGGACTGGGAGCGGTTGGGCCAGAGATTGCACAAAGAGCCTCGGGCGCCCGTGCAGGCTTTACATGCCTGGCACCTCTGCCGCGACGCGATACAGCGTGTCGCCTCGGAAAGGCCCTCCCTCGTGGGGCTGGTGATCTCGCCACTCCTGTCCGCTCCTGCAGCCATCCCTCCTCCTGCTTCGCCCCCAGCGCCTCAATTACCACCTCCTCCCCTGTCTTCCCCACCGGAGCCGGTGTGTGATCACCATCCCGCCGTGGAGCCCCATCCCCCCGTGGGGTCCGCATCCGCTCAGGGACTTTCGCTGGTGCAACAAATGGTTCACACAGCGAAGACTCGCTCAGATATTACAGCAGAGGAGCTGGCTGATCTGGTCTCAGTTTGTCCGGTGACCTGGCAGGATGATGGCCAGGGCAACCAGCTTGCAAACTGGGTCAGTTTGCCTTACTTGGTGATCAGAGAGGTAAAGAAAGCAATTCGCGAGTTCGGCCTCACTAGCACGTATGTACGTGGTCTCCTTGAAGGGCTAGGTACTGGGTACACCCTGGTCCCTGAAGATTGGAAGGCGCTGTAACGCATGATGCTGACACCCAGTCAGTATGTTATTTGGCTTAGTGAGTATCGGCAGATGGCGGAACGCCAAGCCCAGGTATATAGAGAGCAAGATGTCATTTATGAGCACTTGGCAGGGGAGGGCCAGTTTGCTACCGTTCAGATGCAGTCTCAGCTCCCTCAGGCTGTCTTCCCCATTATTTCTGCCTGCGCCCAGCATGCTTTCCGGAAGGTCCCGGATTCAGGCAAGCCTACCAAAAGCTTTGCCAGTATCCATCAGGGTGCATCAGAGTCCTTTATGGATTTTACCAACAGATTGCAGGAGGCTATCCTCCGACAGGTGGATAGCCCTGTGGCAGCTCAGGAGATCCTGTTAAAAATGGCGGTTGAAAATGCGAACGAGGATTGCCGCCGTGCTCTCCAGGCGGCACAAGCCGCTGGCGTTCTAGAGCTGTCGGACATGCTGCGGGCGTGCCAAAACATCGGCACACAAGCACATAAAGCTGGGGTTCTGGCCGCCACCCTGCGGAAAAGCGGGAAGGAGGGGAAGCGTTGTTACCGCTGTGGTAAGGAGGGTCACTTTCAGCGGGAGTGCCACTCATCGACGGCGCCCGCCCGCCCCTCAAAGAAGTGCCCCAAGTGTCGGAAGGGCTATCACTGGGCTAATCAGTGTCGTAGCGGGTCGGGAAATTGCACGACGGGTCCCCCCCAAACCCAGGGCCAAACGGGGGTGTTCCCCAGTCAGACAACTGTTCCTCTGCCTTAAAATCCATAGACTCCATGAGGGCGGCATGAGGGCACTCCAGAAGTGCAGGGCTTGATTTGATTATGCAGGAGGACGCTGATTTTCAGTTGCCGGGGGAGGTTTGCACCATACCTACACAGGTGACGGGATCTCCCTGCCGGATTTGTGGGTCTGGTTCTCCCTCGCTCACACGCTGGGAAACAGGGTTTTTTTTGTCATCCCAGGGGTCATTGATGCCGATTACACCGGCGTTATTAAGGTTCAGGTGTGGACCCATCTTCCGCAGTCGCTCCCGCGTGGACGGTCAATTGCACAATTGATTTTAGTCCCCTATCAGGTGCCAGCCGCAGAGGATCGAGCCCGGGGCGGAGGCGGCTTTGGATCAACGCTGTCTCAGTCGCCGCCTCACGACATGTCCTCTCAACTTGTTGCTCTAACAATGTTGCTCCGCCCCTCGAAACCTCAGTTAACACTTCTTTTAAATAATTTTCCTTTTACAGGGCTGGTGGACACTGGAGCTGACGTTACGGTGATTCGTGATCCGGAGTGGCCGGTCAGTTGGCCAACAGTTCCTTCTAAAGAGTTGTGGGGGATCGGGGGTAGCAAACCCGGGCGCCAAAGTTTGTCTTGGGTCACGGTCTCTAAACCAGGAGGCCGTGCCCTTGCTACGATCCGCCCTTTTGTGCTCCCTGTCCACCTCAATATTTGGGGCCGTGACTTACTTGTAAAGCTGGACACCACCCTCGATATTAATATATAATGGCCCAAAACCCTCCCCCACCCACCTTGCCCTCCGCATTACCATTGGTATGGCAATCCTTAGAGCCCGTATAGATTGACCAGTGGCCCCTCCCCCTAGAAAAGCTGAAAGTGCTTCATTCACTTGTGCAACAACATTTGCATGCACAGCGCTTGGAGAGCTCCACTAGTCCTTGGAACACTCCGGTGTTCGTTATTAAGAAAAAATCTGGTGCATGGAGGCTGTTACATGATTTAAGAGAAATAAATAAATGCATCCAACCCATGGGCCCCTTGCAGTTTGGGGTGCCAAACCCGAATTTAATTCCTCAAACCGATCAACTTTGTGTGTTAGATTTAAAAGATTGTTTCTTCACAATCCCCCTTTGCCCACAAGATCGTGAAAAATTCGCATTTACGGTGCCAGAATATAATTTATTTATATATATTTGTCTCAGATTCTTGGCCAAAATGGCCTGTTAGTGGCACCAGAAAAAATCCAACGCTCTTATCCCTACCAATATCTCGGACATAAGGTTTTACAAACCTATGCTGCCCCTGTTCACCCGGAAGTGGTTCTACCCCAACCCCTAACCCTTGTTAAATTACAGCAAATTTTGGGTCATTTATTCATTCGACCCTACTTCCGTCTCCCCACATCGATGCTGCAGCCGTTGTTTGAGCTCCTATGTGGAGCTCGGGCACCGGGCGCAGTTATTGCCATCACTGAGGAGCACATTGCCTGCATTCGACAGATCAATGCAGTGTTGAGTCAGGAGTTCGCGGATACACTCACTGAGGTTCGTCCCCTGTGGTTGGTTCTCCTTGCCACCCCTCATACGCCTACTGCGGCTCTGTTTGTACCTCGTACAGACACAGCCGACTCTATCACAGAGTGGATATATTTGTCATCCACTCCTCCTCGGAACATTTATCCTTATTTAGACGCCCTGTCCGACCTTGTTCGTAAAGCCCGCCACCGCGCAGTGCAACTCACGGGCACTGATTTAGTTGCCATTGTGTTCCCCTTGTCACGTAGTGAATTTGATTCCTTGTACCACAACTCCTTGGCCTGACAGGTTGCTCTTTGTGATTATGTGGGAGAGAGCTCTTATAATCCCCCAAAAGATCCTCGGTTGGTGATTACACAAAAGGTGCCACTAATCGTACAGTCTTAGCCGCTCTCAACCTATTGTTTCACCTATCACTCTTTTTACTGATGGCTCTCCACATCGCGGTGTTGTCACCTATCAATTAGGTGACCCCCCTCGTTGGCATTCTCGTTTTACGCTGCCTCAACATTCCACACAGCGCTCAGAACTGGCTGCTGTTATTTTGGCCTTTCAATTTTTTGCTGATTGTCCCTTTAATTTAATTGTGGACACCCATTATGTTTATCAGGTAATTGATCATTTACCCCTTGCCCTCATTACCCCTCAGGTCGATGCGGACCTTCTTCGCCTGTTTTTGTCCTTACAGTATCTCATCACCACTCGTAATTTCCCTTATTTTGTTGCTCATATTCGCAGTCATACCCCTCTGCCTAGGCTACTTACTGAAGGCAATGCGCACGCTGATCGCACATTACGTGGTCAGGTAAATTCCCTCTTTTCTGACCCCATTGAAAGCCATTCCTTTTTTCATCAGTCTGCCTCTGTTTTGGCCCGACAATTTCACATTCCTGCTGATCATGCACGTTCTATTGTTCGCTCCTGCCCCACTGTGCCGCTGCTGCCCCTACCTTTTCTTATGCCGTTAACCCCAGAGGTACCGCAGCGAATCAGCTGTGGCAAATGGATGTCACTCACGTGCCACAATTCCGCCCCTATTTGTTTTTACATGTTTCCATTGATACCTATTCGGGATTCCTCTGGGCGACCCCACAGCGTGGGGAGGCCACTCCCAAAGTTATTCACCATTTGCTAGCCTGTTTTGCTGTTATGGGTTGCCCGACCCAGATAAAAACATATAATGCCCCATTATCCTATGTGCCTATTGCTCCACAGCCCTCTCCACCTTTTGTGCCCAATGGGACGTCCATCTCAAACACGGGATCCCTTATAATTCCACAGGCCAAGCTATTGTTGAACGTGCAAATCACACGCTAAAAACCTTGCTTGACAAACAATTAAAACAAGGGGAGCTGCATCTCCGAACCTTAGGAGACATTCAGCAACAATTGCATGTCCTTTTGTTTACTTTAAATAATTTAACACTGAATACAGATCAGCAGACCCCCGCAGATTGGCATTTTCATAAGTCCAAGGTACTGGAAAGACCGTGTGTCTATTACTGTCAGCTGCCCAATCTGCAACGGTTGGGCCCAGTACCTTTAATTACTTGGGGTCGGGGATATGCTGCTGTGTCTCTCCCTGCAGGACCGTTGTGGGTTCCGGCCCGGTTTGTGCGACCAGCACTGAAACAGCATGGCGTGGCACCAGGGGCTGTCGAACCCCATACCGGAGTTTCAGCTGACCTTGGAGGAGAACGCGGTGCCTCCCGGGTCAACAATGGCGGGACGGAGACGGAGGAGACGTAGTGTCCCAAGCCAGCCCGTGACATGGGGAGCAGTGAAAGCATTGGTCGCTGTGGCTCAACGAAGACCGGCAGCAAACCAACAGCCAGAGACTCCTGAGACTCTGTTTGTGGCCATTCTCGCCCAAATCACTGCTAATTCTGTATTGATTGTGTGCCTTATGTGCCTGCTATTTCCTGTAGGGGTTGACTCGGGAGCGCCTCCTCTGTTACGGGCCCGAATGACATATAACCTATGGGAAAGATTGGCTTCAATAGCAAATGTTACCCACTTTTGTTTATCTGATTTTGTAGCAGCTAAAGAATTGTTAGGTACGTGCCTTATTCCAGTATGTCATCACTCTGAGGAAATAGAGAATGAAATGATGCTCGCTGCTTATGTGAACCTCTCTTCCCAGTACTCTAGCATGGCTAATTGGGGCCCAACCAACTACACTTTACCTTCTTGGGCTTATTTTTTGCTGTTGCTGTGTGCAATGTATTTCCTTTTTGTTAAGGCTTTGTTGAGACCCGCCCTGGCAGGCTCCACGAGTTATGACCTTGTCTGTCCAGGAGTTAATTGGCTTGCAAAAGCAAATTGATGGCTACCATGAGATGGCCGAGCACAAATAAACAAAAAAGGAGGGGATGTAGGATTCATACGGGGTTCATGCACTTGACAACATTCAGGGCACACCCGGAGTGTTGTATAGGAGCAGTGTACACACGGCTCCTCTCAAGGGCATGAACCTTGGAACCTCACCCAGATGACATTGAACCGTGGGAAGCCTCCCAGGACTGGGCTCAAGGCCCGAGAGCAAGGAATGCGGTACATGGAAATTGGTAAATAAGAATATTATACAATGCCAGTGTATTCCTTTTATCTGTTGGACTATGTAATGTGCGGGGGGAGAGAGAGAAATAAAGGAGAGGGTGGAAAAGCTGACAGGCAGACCAGCCTTTCGGCAGACCAGCCTGCTTGCTTGCTTAAAGCCTTGTTCTGTCTTGTATTTGAACCGCAACACCCAATAAATAGCTGTAGTGCAAAAAAAATTCTGGCATATTCAATATTTGTTACTCACAATATATAAGATACACATTAACTTAAGCATTAAATGTAGCAAATATCTCAATATTGCATTTAAGTATTTCTTATATAAATCCCAGGTTCCACTTAATGAGAAACCTGAGGTTGCTTCTCTTTGATGAGTTTATCAAAGTTTGGTGTAAATCAGTGCAGTCCCAAGGTCAGGCTCAACATCCCTGCTTTTATTTTTCAGTTGACTCATAGCTGAAAATCCTGTTTCACACAAGTATGTCACACTAAATGGCAAAATAACTAATAGCATGGCTAGCAAGAACAGGTTATTCACCTGCAGTGCTGTACACAACTGGGAAGACTCGTTTCAGTATATTTTCTCTGTAGACTATGATTGCAAGACAATTCAAGCAGCTAAGATTCTTCCTCCATAGGCAGACTCACATTTTCCAGCAATATTCCAAATGGATCACAGATCCATTCTTCATCCTTGAGTTACTCATCTGGAAAAAAATCACAGAATCTAGTGTGTAATTTAGTTAAGTTGTTACAGATAATTGTCTGCTGCTTCCCAGCATGCAGAATCTTCCTAGTTTTCCATTTCTAGCAACACAAGAGTTGCTGCATGGGAACTAGACATGGATATTTAGGCTGAGGAACTTAAGTGGGTTTTGCCTATGGATCGTTTGTAACCATGTCTGTTCAGGGACTAGTATATGTGTAAACAAAAAGGTTGTATTAAGAATATACCCAGATTCCACATCTCCGATTTGTCTTCCAAAGGAAGCCCAACCTGCAAGCCCTGCCCCCAACATCTGCCATCACTTGGCAGAGAGGCAACAAATATAAGAGGGAAATAGATTCATATAGAGATAAGGAAGAGGAATTTAAGGGGTACACAGCCTGCCTTAGAATGAAAAGGTGGGAAGTAGCTCGGTGGGAGGGAAGAGAATGACTCAATACACATTTTTCTAAACTCTAAGAAGATCCCTACTAGAAATACATTTCATTCTTTTCATGCCTCAAACTTCCATTCTATTAATGTTTGGCTAAAACTACCAAGCATCTTTTCATTTCCTTTGGTACCATTATTAATTAATATGTATGACAAGTCCTCAAATGTTAATTGTTTTTGGAGTGCGTTTAGGTCAGCTGTGTAAAATGTTAACCATTTAAATGAAATCCCAAATAAGTTTCTGCAATTTTGTGCAGATGAAATAATAATTATTTCAGTTTTATTCATGCTGGTAAATCCATGCTTCATAGCACTGATTTAATTAATGAGCAGCTAAACGTGACTGCCTTGCTAATGATTTGTTCTTATGTTACCTGTGAAAAATAGTTCTAAATGGCTTAAGTATGATAACATGGAACTAGAAACATGTTAGGTGACACCCCCAAAGTTGTCATAAGCAACAAAAGAAGTAAACTGTATATGCCTGTAACCACACAAGAAGACACCAAAAAATGTACTGAGGTATCATGCATATTTCTGTGGAAAACATCTCTGATTTAGAAAAAGAAAACGTTTCACTATATGATGCCCTTCAAACCTTACATAATTAATATGCATGCTTTTTTGTTTGGACTGGGGTCATTGTTTTAAAATCATAACCTGATGATGTATCCTCTTTCAAATATCCTCCCCACAAAATAATTATTTGAGCGGATAAGGATCGGTCTTTAGAGTGAGAACGTTTAATAACTAGGAGCCACAGTAGAGTGGCCATATGTCAGAGAAAGTGCTGTAACAGAGAGCGCCCGAAAATAAATTGTCGTCTATATTCAACTACTACAAAAGTGACAAGTTTGATTACGACAAGTTTGATTAAGCCATCCACTGACTTCTCTGTCAGAATGGATATTCACTTGTTCCAGAAGAAAACAATAGCGGTGATGCACATCCACTAGGTTGTCCTTATACGATCTTAAGAATTTTTCCAACAGATTTCCTTCAGGGCTAGGCTAGTACAAGTCATTTTTCCCCACCAAGGCTTGTTGCTAAATTAATTCATAGTTCAAGACAGTAAGAGAATTACATCATTCAGCAACAACATCTCAATTAATGTCTGTCACAACACTAAAGATTATCTCTAATGCTGGCTTCTGCCCATGCAAAAAAATTACCCTTACCCAGGGACAATTCCAGGTCCTGAGTGATTAGCCACTTACTTTAATCTCAAATGTTCATGCACTATATAAAGTTCACTGAACTGATATTACTGCATTCATCTGTCATACAATAAGATTAAAATAAAGGGTAACTAGTATGATATGGTACTACTTAAACATTTAACATCCTTGCAGAGCTACACTGAGGAGATTATATAGATACATTTTTAAATGCTAAAATCTTCCATCTTTTGTACACAAGTATTTGAAAAAACGAAACCCTCTAGATTACAGATCTATTGAACATTCATACAAAGATCAATGCGTAAGTACTTCACAATAAAATAAGAGTAAATTCTGTCTGGTATTTATATGCTGTTGCTATGTGTTCTCGCTAACATCTTTGCCAATATTATTTCTGAAGCTCCTTTTGTATATTTTAGGTATGTCTAAGGCCCAGAATTTTCAGCTCTCCCAACTGAAGATTCAGGTAGGACATAGGACCAAATCCTGCTTTGCTTGCTCGAGTGAGCGGGATTTGAGCCAAATCCATTGCATTTCTATAGAACCATTTTTTTCTCTAGTACTTTGCATACTACATATCTTACATAAGAATCACTTTACCTGCCACAGCAACACAGCCATCTCTGAAGACAAAACACACCAGTTATTCAACAGCACACAGTGATATTTTGCAACAGTTTACGATAGGAAATGGAAGACACTAGATAAAATTCCACCTGAAGTTCAAGTTTTAAGTGCAATGTAATTACACACAGTCACAGCGCAATCTGCTCATTTGAAAAACCTCTTGAAGTCTATAGCCTGTTCTCAGGTCCAACACAGGAATGAGGAGATGGTATTTCTCAAAACT